ATTCCTGCAGAAAATTCCTGCAGGTGGAATTCCCTGGCTTTAAACTCATTTGCATTACTGTACTACAATTCTGTGTATTAGCTACTGCAGGTAACAGCATCTAACATGCATGTCTCTTTTCTTTAAATTTAAGCTAGGTAATTGCACATATTTTACTTTTATTTGTAGCAGAAAGCTTGGTGTATTCTCTTCAGTAAGTTAAAGGCATACATAACTCAATACAGCAGAGATATCTACATAAAATCTCACTTTCACTCTTGTACAGCAAGTACTGGATTAGGAAAGGCAAGTTTAATTTGGGCATAGATCCACATTAATGTGACAGTACTGATAATATCTACCAACACATAGTTGCTTTCAATATTGTGAATGTGCCTCCTATCCTCATTCAGTATCCATATCTATAACACCAGAATGAGTCACATACATTGGTGCCTTGCTTAGCGACGTTAATTCATTCCACAAAAATCGCTGCAGAACGAAAACATCGCTATGCGATATTAAAAAGCCCATAGAAACGCATTGAAACCCCTTCAATGTGTTCCTATGGGCTTAAAACACACAGTTGAGTGAAGATCCTCCATAGCGCCGCCATTTTCGGTGCCTCTAAAGCGAGGAATCCGTCCCTAAACACAGCGGGCGGCCATGTTTTTCCCCTGGCGGCCATTTTGAAACCGCCGATCAGCTGTGCGAAAATGGGGGCTTTGCGATGATCGCTTCCCTGCGATCATCGCAAAGCGAAAATACCCCATAGAGAACATCGCAAATTGATCGCTTTTGCGATCCCAAAAACAGCGTTGCTAAGCGATTTCGTTGCTAAACTGAGCAATCGCTAAGTTAGGCACCACTATACAAGTTTTTTTTGTGCAGCTAGATAAGGGTTGGGATAGCATGTAGATAACTACACACAGTCAATAAAAGCCAAAATGAAGAAAATTAGGAGTGCCAGGCTTGTCTACCTGTGTCTCCTCCAGATCCAGTTGATAAAGCTGGCATGGTTTAGTCTGCTGACTACAACAAGGATACACACTAGAACAGCACTTCAGTCAGAAGATGGTAGAGAGTTTCAGTTCAACTACTTGCAGCCACG